TAAATGTGCCATGTAGATATATCAACGTAACGAAAAAGAACTATGGAAATGTAAATCCATATATAGATATTAAAATTGACACACAAATAAAAAAATTTAAAAAAATACAATGTAGGTTGCATTACTACTCAGGTCTGATGAGGCCAACAGATGAGAGGGTGGCTGCCATGGGAGAGGTAGTTTGTTATCCTCACAGATCCCTAGAAACAGGAAGCAGGGCCACACAGGGAAGGACCGGGCTGGGTCAAAAGCAGAGGGAGCAGGGCAACTGTGGGCAGGAGCCTCTGTTGTGATTTCCATGGGAAGGAATGGGTGAGGCAGGGTATATGGGCTTAGGGTTGACTGGATTGAGTAATTTCAGGACTCGGGGCATAGTGCTGTCTTGAGATGTCTGGTACCTGGCCTTGGGTGATTGGAGCAGGGGCCAGTGGACCTGGGTATGAGAACATGATAGCAGAGGTGGGAGGTGGGTGTGTGAGCTCCGGATTAGTTAGTTCGTACTCTTGGACAACTCCTTAACTCTCTCTAGGGATTGGCCAACCCCAGGGTGGAGAGGCAGGGACAGTAAGATCCAGATATTAGAGCGTCAGATATAGAAAGGACAAGCCACAGTTAATGCACCTGTCCTCAAGGAGTTCCCCATCTTATGAAGGAAGGTGACCCCTACAGTCCTATAAGCCACTGAAGAGTGTGCTGGTTCTCTACTGCTGTGTAACAAATTCCCCCCAAAACTTGGTGGCTTAAAACAATAGTAAGCATGCGTTAGCTCAGTTTCCGTGGGTCAGGAACTCACAAGGGGCTTGGCTTGGGGTTCTGGCCCAGGGCATCTCCTTTGCGGTCATCTGAAGGCGAGGCTGGGGCCGCGGCATGGGCTCCCAGCAGGCTCAGTCACATGACCGTTGGCTGGGGCTGACACTTCCAGAGCAGGTGATCCCAGAGAGAGCAAGGCAGGACCACAATGTCTTCTCTGACCTCGCTCCAAAAGTCACCCACTGTCGCTTCCACGGCTGGAGGGGTCATGGCAGGGCGTGAGTGCCAGAGCCCAGGGACGCTGGGGGCTATGGTAGGTGGTAGCCACCACAGAGGATATGAGCGCGTGATCATTTTTCCAAATTGTGTCTTAAATGGTCTGCCAGGCTGCCAGGTATGGTCAAGACTCCATGCAGCCACCTCTTTGGGCTCTGGCATGTGTCTCTCCTTTGCCCTCTCACACCCAGGGGTGGGCAAGGCCCCTGCTGTTAAAAGCACCGAATTACTCCTCTTGGTTTTCCCCGCCTCTCAAATTCCTCCCCTTGAGTGGACCTTCTGTGTCCTGTGGGGAATCTGGTGGTGGCCCTTCCCCAGCTGTGTGGCCCTTTTCTGACTGTGCACCTCCCCCGCATTCACAGCCACCCCTTGAGAGCTGGCCAAACCTACCGTGTCTACTGGCATCCCCTCCCTAACCCTGTGGGATCCTGGCTTCTGCCCCATCACTCCACCCTGCCCATCTCGCTCTGGGGGCGTGGCTGAGGCCTCTCCAAGGGCACCTCCCCTCCACTCGCTCCTTCTCCGGCCCTCCTCCCTGGGCTCTGGTCCTCTCTGGCCTGTCTATCTGCTCTGTCGGCCTCCCTGCCAAGCTCCTCCACCATCGGGGTTCCTGGGGCTGTGTCCTGGGCCGTCCTCTCTCTCAGCCACGACCACAGCCTTAGTTTCCATCTGTCCACCAGGGACACCCACATTTGCGTCCTCTCTTCCCCTAGTCCCCAGGCCTCCATCAACAGTGGCCTCTTCAGAGCCCCTGTTTGGCGGTTGCCACGGGGACCTGAACCCAGCACCCTGCCTGAGCTCCGGGCCTCCTGATCCCCACCCCCGCCACCCCAGATCCCTCCTTCCCTTCTCTGCCACCTCAGCAAACAGCGCCTGATGCAAGGGCGTTCTTGCCTAAGGGATGGAGTTATCCCCGGGGCTCCCTTCTCTCCCATGCCCACACCCAGTCAGGCACCAAGCACCCCCCCCCCC